ACTGCAGTAGCTGCACTTGGATTGTAGTCTGGCACGATTTTTGGCTGTACATTTGAAGAAGATTGGGATTTTAACAGCATATTCTCTCTCTCTGTAATTTGAGCTGCATGGTTTGTGATAATTTCTTCTCTGTTCTACTTTAACAGAGACTCTCAGGAATATGTTAACGTTAAAAAAAAAATAAGTTTTGTTTTTACTTCTGTATTTTATTGCCTAAAGACAACGTTTCAAGCATTTTTGGAAATTTAAAAAATAGAGCAAAAGTTTGATGAATGACTTGGAAAGAAGTTAGAAAAAGTAAGACATCGTGCTGTAGGTTGAATCACTTAATAGTGAAGGTAAAATGAAAGGAGTACATTGCAATTGATGTAAATTTATGTACAAAAGGGATGAAATCTGGAAATAAGACATTTCTATTAAGAAAATACACATGATGTTGAATAAAATGTAGAAGCTGTAGGAGCAAGTAATACAGAGGCATTGAAATATATAGAGGCTTATAAAATTATTCAATAATTCATATGCATTTTTATGGAGCCATTATAGAATTCATTTCAAGAAACATTTTGGCAAATATATGCAAACTAAAAAAAAAAAAAAAAAAAAAAAAAAAAAAAAAAAAAAAAAAAAAAAATTGTGAATATATAACTTATACAGATCTTGGCTCATTCATCCTCGATTACTTTTTTTATATGTGCTACTATTAATTATTGGAAGTCCTTTAATTTTACATTTTAATGATTTCTGACCCAGGGAATATCAAGACCATATATATCATTCAAATCTGTCAACTTTGATTGTTTGATAGATGCGATTTTGAGGTTCAACATATATATATATATATACACATAATTAAAGAAAGGAGAACAAAGTAAAAAAGACCTTTGTGTATATATTGTTGCCCAAGTCCAGTTGGCACTAGGCCTAGTTGGGACAGTTGCGCCAATGCAGTATTTAGCATGATGCCTGAACTGACTCCAGACAGGGAAATGAGTGTTTCTATTTTGTGAAGCCTCAGCTGAGTTTGTTCTCTTCATTTTGAGACCACTATTTTCACACTAGATGACATTATCGGTTCGACATTTTTACTGATTTGAGTCAGGTGGGCATGGGCGTGTGCAACTGCTCAGCTACGACACGTTTTGGGAATGTTGCTTTCACACAGTACTTTTGGTTGTTTTTCTGTGAATTTTATACCAAAAAGTTTTCTTTCTTTCTTTCTTTCTTTCTTTTTTCTTTTTCTTTTTTTTTTTTTTTTTTTACAAAGTCTGATTCAGATGTTGAAAAGGAATATAGTTTAGGTTCTTCAGAATCGGATACCGATATTTCTACCAATGAATGTATGGAAAGTAATGATGATAGTGATATTTCTTCATGTAGCGATTGGAAGCCATCTTGTGTGAATAACCTTCCTCCTGCCCCTCCAAAGTTTCCATTTTGTCCAACACAAATAAGTGCAATTAGTACTTCAAATTTCATACAAAAACCTGACTGTTTTGAGCTTCTTAATTTTTGCATATTATTACCACAGAAACTAACAGAAATGCAGAACACTGTATTCAAAGCCGAACCCTAAAATTAAAAACAGAGCAAAAACTTGGTTCCAACGAATGAAAATGGAAAAAATTTTCTTGCCTAGCATATTCTGCAAGGTATTGTAAAGCAGCTGGTTGTAGAGATGTTTTGGTCAAAAAAGGAATGTATTGAAATCTGCAATTTTATGATGCAGGATAGGTTTCGGATAATAATAAAACAAAATCTGGCATTTTGTGAAAAATGAAGGTATTGATCTACTGACACATCCTAATGCAAAATTTTATAAACTTGGCCAATTTTTCAATATCTGAGTGAAAAATTTTCTTCACTATGCATTTCAGATTGCGATGTCACTGTAAATGAAAGTTTGATGCTCTATAAAGGTAGATTGGGAATGAATCAAATACATGCCACTAAAAAGATCTTGCTTTGGGATCAAGGCGTATAAGACTGGATATATTTTTTCCAGTATTATTTACACAGGAAAGGGCGCAAAGCTTGATAGTGATTTTGAATATCTTGGTATGTATGGTCACGTTATGTTGCTGATGAAACCACTGCTAGGCAAAGGATATTGTCTGATTACCAACAATTATTATACTTCTCTACAGCTGGCCGATGTACTGGTGCATGTTGCACCAGTACCAACATATACAGCACAGTATGTGCAATTAGGAAGGAGCTGCCATCGGATTTAAAAAAAAAAAAAAAAAAAAAATGAAAGGTGACATTCTCATTTTTCAACATGTGATTGCTATAAAATGGCATGACATAAAGGATATTTGCATGGTTTCTTCAGTCCATACTGCAGAAATTATGGAGTTAAAAGATAAAAAAAAGAAATTAGAATTTAAAGCAGTTCAGGCCTACAAGAACATTATAGGAGGTGTTGATAAAGTTGATCAACATTTTACAGACTACCAGGTAAAAATTATTACCTAAAGATAGTTTTCCATCTCCTAGACTAGGCATTATGGAATTCTTTCATTATGTATAACTCAGCAGGAGGGGCAAAAAATAATGTGAACTACAGAATAGCAATTGTGAAACAAATTGTTGAACAAAATGAGCCAAATGTTCAGTTACCAAGACCAAGCTATCCTAATACAATACAAGTGTCTAATCCGGACGTCCATAATCCGGAATGATCTATAATCCGGACCCCAAAGCTACAAACTTTATGCGTATACATTTATTCATGTGCATATGTGCAATTGCGTAAATGCATTATGCGCATGTGTAAACGCATATGCGCATGCATATCCGCAATTGCATAATGCGTTTACGCATGCACATTTGATGTATAACGGATGGTATAAGCTAGGCTAAAATTATATAAGGCATTTCAGCTAATGTTGCAGATTGTGCTGTTCCTTAAACTTCTGATTGGATCCGGCTTATTACTTTTTGCAGACTGTTAGAGCAATTTTATAAAAAGTAAGCTTGAACTTTCTATTATGTCAAAAAGAGTTTCAAATTCCGGAGCTGCCAAAGGATCTACAAAGCGAAAGCATGTTTCGATGTCCATCAAGCAAAAAGTGAAATTGCTTCAAAAAATGGATAAAGGCATATCCGTCTCAAAATTATGCAAGGAGTATGACATTGGAAGTCAACTGAATATCACATAAACAAAAAGAAAAAGGAACTTTTTGAATATTTTGTGGATTCTGACACCCAACTTGCAATGACTAAAAGAAAAAGGGTTCGTTATGCTAAAAGTGACAATCATGACAAAGTGATGAATGTTTAATAAACAAAAAAATATTCTTTTTTTTTGTGTGTGTGTGTGTGTGTGTGTGTGAATTTTGATACTTTTTAGCTCATAATTACTCTTTGTTTCATAAATTACGATTTCATATTTTTAATTGTATAATTTCTGCATGCCATCTTACAAGATTTAAATTGATGATCCATAATCCGGAAAAACCCCTAATCCGAAATCGCCGAAGTCCCGACGAGTCCGGATTGCGGATGTTGTACAGTTGAGAAGAGGGTGTGACATGAGTTTATTATATATGGGCTTGTGTGCAGTACCATGTTTTGGTATATGTAATACCATAAAAGGTTTATGAAATTTGAATATTTAAAATCGTATTGTCATATTAACACTGGTTTATGTTATATTTAAGCTGTAAATGAATAATATTTTTGTAATCCATTACTTTATGTGCATGTCAAAATAGTCAATATAGTAGTTATAGCATTTAAAATTTTACTTTTTTACTAAATAAAAATTTTCTAACTTTTATATTAATATAAAGAACAAAATTAAACATTAAAAAAAGTCTTAATTTTTGGTGCGTATTTCTGAAATGTATATCATAATTAAGGCATTTAAAGTGCACCTGAAAGATTAGGGAAATACGTATCTTGGTGGATGCATTTCGCTAGTATTATATTGTGTCTGAACGTGGAAAGAACTGTGCTGGATACCTTGTTAAAGGCTCTGCTTTGTTGTACATGCTGCATCAACCAATGATAGTATCAGTGAACTCCAGTTAAGAAGAATTATCTCAACATTTTTTGAAACATAACTTTAGGCGCTTTTATCTAATTTTTTTCATTACAAAATTAAAGTTGCCACAAATTTGAGAAAACTGCACAACAAATAAGTAACACAGTCTAACCACTGAAGGCAGTTATTATTACTAAATGCAGTAGTGTGACAAACAGTTTACAAATATTAGAATAGGAAAGGAAAAATGGCCTTTAATTAAAGAAATTTATAATTAAGTGGCTTGAAAGTTAAATTTTCAAATGATTTCCAGATATATGTAAAAAAATGGAATTAATGTTAGAAAAGCCAAATGAATGAAGAAAAATTCTGTTCTAAAATTCTAAAAGCCATCATCTTATTTGTTACCAACTTGAATATCAGGCACCTACATTTAAGATAATGTAAGATTTAAAAAAAAAATTCAGTCATAAAAGCTGAGGTATTTCATAGGTTTTAATCATGATATGATCCAATAATGAAATCCCACCAAACATGAAAGTTGATGGAGGTGTTTCCTGCCATTCTAGCAGAATTTTAAATGAACAAAATATTAATTAGATAATAAGTAGATACAAATTACAAACATAGCATATAAAAAAATCACTGCTTATAGTTTTTCATCGTACATTACCATTGTTTATCCACATATACCATGGCTTGTTTTGATGTCTGGATCCTGTAATTTTGGAAATACATCACTGTATGCTGTCCCAAGTATTAAATCATTTTTTTTTTTTTTTTTTCAAAATGCAAGAAAATTGCAACTTATACCTGTTACACAAATTAAGTTGGCTAACCAAGAATTAATAGAGCTTACATTAACTAAAAACAAACTTCAGGATCTTCCAAAAATTTCTTAAGCAGGATTGGATTGCATAGGTGGGTTTCAAATGTTTGTGATGCATATTTTGTCCAGTGTTTCTTCTAAATTTTTTTTATTATTATTATTATTATTATTTTTTTTTAGTATTTCAGTCAACTTAGGCAAAATATAATTAGCAATCAGCTACCTGAAAAGCAGTGTGTTATGGCTCAGTGGTTTGATAGTCTAATGGAAGGAATTGAAAGAAATTTACAGACAAAAAATAGAGAAAGGTAATAAAGGTCTTATTTTATTCTAAAATGATGTCAGTTCTGAAAAATTGTTATTTTTTCAAGTGCAGTAGAGTCCCGAAAGCTTGCCTGAATATGGACTGAAGGCTGGGTCAAGATTGTGAAAGTGCTGGGTTATCTAGAAAGATTTTAAGAAAGAATAAATACAGATGTTTCCTCAGAAAATACAGTCCTTGTATATATTTTTACTTGAGAATACAGCAGTTAACAAAGAATGCAACACTGTAACTCAAACTGCCCAAATGCCGTTAAACAAAGGAAAAGTGCCTACTTTATGAAGGCATAGAGCCTTTACTAATGAAAATTAACGAATACGCATTGTACAGTAATTTAACTGATAAAACAGACCTCAGAAAAATACTTTCTAAATGCATAAAGCTGTCTATAATGAAAATTAGCCGACTTTGCAAAAACTGGCTACTTTTTTAAAGAAATGCAAAATATTTTATTGTTTTCTCTACTGCAGTCTGTGTTTTGATGCTTCATCATGAACATGATGAAGGATCAGTAAGTCTATTTGATGCACCTTGTTCAAAATACTGAAGGGCGGCTTCAACAGTCTTAAGTCCCTCCCTATGTATATTTTAGGGGCTTGTATGGTGGAGTCCTCAACGTCAACATCTTCATCATTTTATGGCATTTCTTCATTAACTGTGATACTAATAATTTCTGCAGCAGACATTTCTTGCTCAGTATCATTCTGGAACCACTGTACAACATCATTTTAATTGGCTTCCGCACATCTAGGAACTCTTTCCAGGAGGTCGAATAAGTTTACATTTTCTGCATCACCATGTTCAATGAACTCATTTCCGTCATGATCAAGTTTTCATCAGGAATGAACTAGTGTTAATGACTCTAACTCGTTCCAGGTATCCGCCATCCATCCAACAATATCCAGTAGATTAATTTTCTGTAAGTTGTGGATAAGGCATTGACCATGATCATTTGCAGAAAGAAAGGACGATAACAGTTTGCACCTATAATCTTCTCTTGAGACTAACCAAAACTCCTTGGTCCGTTGGCTGGCATAATACTATGATACTGAGTGGCAAAAACATTGCTTGTATGTCCCCATTTTGTAACTCTTCAATGTCTGGGTCTTAAGATGCACTGTCCAAAATCATAATAGCCTTCCTTGGCAGGTGTTTAGATTTTAAAAATCACTCAACCAATGGAACAAATACTTCAAGGAACCATTCTTTGAAAATGGCACAGCTAATCCAGGCATTTTACTGGTTTAGATACCAAACGGAAAGTTTATCCATTTCAGTGTGCACATGGTTTCTTTGATTTTCCTTTGATAGCTACTTTTAATTTATGGTCACCTGTTGCATTTGTGCATGCTAGGATTGTTACCCTCTCCTTGCTCCTTTTAAAACCAGGGGCTGACTGTTCATCCTAGAAAGCAAAACTTTTCACGGGGAACAGTTTTCAATTTAACACTAGCGGGCAAGCCCGCTTTCATTCGCCGATGCCTTCGTGGAGCACCCGCTTCATTCACATATGCTTCGACAAGATATTGCTAGCTCACTTGATTCATGTATGCATCCACAAGATATTTTCTAGTTCACATGTTTGCTAGTGGGCAAACCCGCCAGCTGAGCTGGCAGAAGATACTGCATACAAGATACACATGCAGAAAAACACGAAAACACCAATGCAGCCAGCCCGCTCGCCGGGATTCGAAAGTTGGACCGAACTACCAGTGTTCAGCGTTTTTGCATGGGCTGCACCTGCTTTATTCATGTATGCATCCTTTCACCGGGATTCGAAAGTTAGACAGAACTACCAATATTTAGCGACTATACCGCTTTATTCACATATGCATCCACAAGGTACCTGTACTGACACTTATCCAGCCTCTTTAACTTTTGCTCCATAGACAAGTTCACTTGTTTTCTTTTATGCCATCACAGAGTACTGTCCATCACCCATGAACTTTGAAACATCTCTGAACAATACAGTACAGTCACTCACATTGAGTTGCGCAACGTGATTAAGAAATAAATTAACTAGCATAGGCTGCAAGGAGAATGAACAGCTGAGCCTGCGCTGCTGCCAGTCACATGGTGAAGTAGGAGTGTGACAAAGGAATTCGGGAAGAGGGGAACACACACACACAGACTACAACCTTGAATGAGTCTGCATGCAAGGTTTTATAGTCCTACCATGGTGTGGACAATTTATCTGAATACTGAGTTTTAGGGACTCTACTCTGTTTTAAGATGAAATAAATATGCTGTTGCTTTCCTGTATGTTTAATTCACGCCTTAAAACTCTATAAAAATCCTTAAAACATGAAACAACTTCAGGGTCTTGAAAAGGGGTTAGCTCTTTCAGGGTGAACTCTTTTTCATGGTTCAGTTTATAATAACTCAAATTAGCATCAGTCTAGAAATTAGTGTAAAATGTGAATAAAAGGTTAACATTTCTAGAGTGATATTGCACCCTTAAAGCATGTCGGCAATCAATGTTAACCATCTGCATCTATATTTGGGTTCTACCAACATGGTCCATATTGCTTCAGCTTGGGAACTTTAGCTAGTTACAGGTACTTTTGTTAATGTGTCAACAAAATATGAAGGATGTACTTGTACTGTGTACATATACTGTATTGCCATTAATGACAGGTTACCCATTGGAACATAAGTATTATTGCCTACAAGTCATTCATAGATGTCATGATCAAGCAGTATGTTGGGCTCTAAGTGGACATATTTACAGCTACTGCCATTGAAGTGAATGCTTGACACCATCTTAGTTAAGTTCAGCATGGTATGGTTATGAATAGCTACTAACTCTCCTCTGGTTTTACTGTTAGACTCCTGTTTTTTCTTCACATCTCCTAGTCTCCTGGCTGATCACCAAATCTCCCGGCTTTTAATTTTTAGCCATATTAAAGGGAAATATTTCCAGCAATAAATGAAATTTATTAAAGAATAGTGAAAGTTAAATTAGGCAAATTTTATTCTCCTACTTCTAGTTATTTCCAGAAAAATTTTGTTATTAAATTTTATTTCATCTGAATTGCAGTTTTAAAATGAAAATTTTATTGATCATTTAATTTTTCTTATTAAATTTTAGTTCGTTTAAGTCATCTTAATCTACTGTAGATATTTGTAGATTTTTATATGAATATTCAAGCAATGTTTAATCAGTTAATATTTGTATTTTCATTGTATTTAAAAGTACTATGATAAATAAAAGCTTTCCTTCACTAAGTGGGATTTTCTCTGTATAAAATTGCTAGAAGTTTTGAAGATTAAATTAGCTAAAAAACATAAAATTTAGAATATCTAATTAAACCCAATATCCTTACATCTAATTTATATTAAAAATAGTGGAATAACATTAATCATTTACTATAACTAAATTAATATCAGTTTGGACTTCTCTTATAGTGGTTTCATCGTATCACTTGAAATCCTTCTCGTTTCTCCACGATTTCTGACAAAGATCTCGCAGTTTTTAAGATTTCAATGTTGGCAGCTATGATTAGCTATGGTTATGTGATTTGATCATTCTATTCATGAGATTTCTGGGAAGTAGTAGTAAAACTGAAATGTGAGTTGGTTATAAAACTGTAAAACCAGCCTGGCAGATTAATAAATAAAGGTTATCAATGTCTCCTGCATTTGATGAAGTTAAGTCAATAAGCCTCTTCAGAAACTTTTTTTGCTGACCTTTGACTGGCTTTAGAAAGGGATGGCAGCTCTTGTGCTATCTATCCAAAGATGTTTGTAATCAGATTCATGAGTGAGCTGCCGATCGTTACATGGATTGCTGCCCATTGATTTATAATGTTGTAAAGCACATTACCAATGAACTTTGGATCAGTGGTAGAACATTTTGTGAAGTTATGAATCACACTAGGTGTAGAGATACAGTGGATATGGTTACTGTATAAGCAACTTGATTAACTGGAGTGTATTGTTCCTTCTGTGAAATCCGGCCAAGAATAAAATTCGTTCATCAGTGTGTTTTTCTTGCTGCTTGTCTTGGTTTGAATGGCTACAAAGCAGTAGTAAACAATTTCATTCTTCCAACTTTAAAACAACAGTTTAGAACTAGCACATTTCTATTTCAGCATGATAATATGACCATTCGATAAATAAAGATTATTATTTAGTTGTTTGAGAAAATGAGAATACATGAGCTTGACTAACTGCCTTCCAGTCTTAATCCATTTGGGCATCCTTCGGAGGAGTTGACTCAGTGGTTGCAAGTCAAAGCAAATTATCCAAAAGCTGTGAAGTGCAGAAGTGTTGTTTTGCTGATTGCATCCAAAATTTGCATCTTGATAGACCTAAAAGTAAATGCATGTGTGGAGAAAGAGCTGATGAACTGCACTCACAATGCAAAAAGATTTTTTCAAAATTACTTGCATCAGGGACAGCTGTTTTCGATGTGATAGGTTTAGTGACCAGTCTGTGGTACTGAGGGTCCCGAGTTGTAAACCTGGAGATGAAACAACAGAATTGCAAAGAACAGAGACCTTACATGTGTCCTCTATTGGCAAACATGACTATTAACACCCGAGTATACCAACAGCAACTGGTTCACAACATATATGATAGATTATGCCATAAGATCATCCAGGTTATATAATACAATTAGTGGCAGTACCAGCAATCACTATCACATTGGTGACCATAGGAAGTGACTGGCAGCTCTACCTTTGATCCTTCCACACAGGGTCTAGAACTTTTCACCGTGACCATCAGGACCTTTTGCTGTCAAGACATTTTCTTTACATTGACTGTATTATGTCTTGCCATATTATTCTCTGGCTAATATTTCGGTCAGAGCCATTTTTTGAGATACTGCAATTTTGAAAAATTTTTCGACCACTGTTTTTTAAGCATTAATGACCTAATGTTTTTGCCGTAACACTATTATATACGTACAATACACTTAATTATCACATTGAGAAAACCCAAGTAAATTCTTTTCCGGAGGGAAAGTCATTAATTCTAGGT